CTTTCCTTTATAACGTAACATTTTGTTGTCAAGTCTTCCAATTAAAAATTAAAGTTATTTTCTGGTTTGAATTAATCTTGCATCTTTTTTGTCTGCCATTTCATTTGTCCAAGTAAAGGTGCTGTATCTGTCAATCATGCAAAATATTGACGAATACAAAGCAGATAATTGGATTTTAGAAAATTTTGTGACAAAAAAGAAAACAGCTATAATTACTTTCAATTGGTCATTGAAATGTAAATTTGCTTTTCTCATGGCATCATTATGTTGACAACTTGTGCTAGTTCTGTGTTTCTATCAAGTTATAGAAACACAATTTTTAACGAATCAGTGGGCATATGTTCTATTTTCTAAAAATAAATACTTAATGGTAGCTTATGTGCGATTAGTTATTTATGAATGCACCTTTATTCTGTTGCGTTGAATTCCTATTGCATTTCACTTTGTGTTTCTTGTAACGTGTTCAATATCTTTAATTATAGTGGTTTCTTCTGATGGTGTGGATCAAGATGAAAGTAATAGTTGTGCACATGGTGATGTTCAAAGCAGTGATGGTGATGACGATGATGACGATGATGAGGATTGTGAGGTGGAAGAAGAGGATGATGGCAGTCATGGCAACAACAGGAATGAGATAGTGGAACAAGAACATGAGGTTTTTTCCAAGTCTAAGCAGAAGTCATCATTTAGTCTGGCAAGTGCATCAGCTGCCTCTCCACAAGAAGAAGCTCCTCAACGTAAGTTTGGGTATGGGAGGTGTAGTAGCCTAATGCTGGACTCCCCTTTGAGCAGTCTGGTTTTAAACCCTAACATCACTGCATTGTGTAATGGGTTGAATTGCCCAGCACCCCTTGGCACTTGTATACTGATTCACATATGTTTCAATTAGATGACTATTTTGATTATGTCCTTTCATTTGGATTTGATTACTCAAATTTATTTTCCTTACTAGATGCCAGATGCAAAAAAGTGACAAATTAAAGTGTCTTGATACAGTACTTTTGGACCATACCTGATCATTGCATGTTCATTAAATCTTTCACCAGTCTTCCCTTGATTGGATTGATGTCAAAATTTCACTAGTTATTGAAAATTTTGGAATAAGATTATTTGCATTTTTAGTAAATGTTTCCAAAAAAATCTGTCAAGCTGTTTCCAAGACATTTGAAAAAAGGTTCAAAAATTGAAACTGCCCAAATATTATAGTGGGATTGACCCTGACAAACGTCAATTCAAGTTTTACTGGTTAAGACGACCAAGGTAAATTCAGTTCAACCCCCATTAAACAGCCACCCTCTGGAAAATGGCCGCTTAGAGGGGGAGAAAAGCCCTCATCAGGACTTTGATTATTGGCGGCCTAATAGGGGTGGCCTTTTAATAAGTGGACGCTTATAATTAATAGGGGTT